TGAAGATTCAACCATATAAACAGAAATAACATTCTTATTTTTATTAATAATATTGAGTTTGAACATTCCCTCATACATATACTCTTTCCCAATAAAAATTTCTCTCTTAGATAGAATAAATTTATTTGCATCAAATACAAGTTTAAGACCAAACTTGTTCAACAAATTTTCAGACACTAAGTTCTTCCTAACTTCTGGTACATAATAAACATCATTCAAAGTTAGAGTTTTTTCAAAAGTGAATTCAAGGTCAATAGTCTTTTTGCCTTTTATTTTTGTTGTAGAAGAATTTCCCATACAGAAGACACTGTGATATTCACTTGGTTTGAATGTTATGAACATGCTTTTGTTCTTACACACATGTTTTGTTGCCCTAAAATCAACCTATCAAGATTCATCATATTCAAGTATGTTGATCTCGAAAATCATGGCAATAAATTTTTTAGAAGTATCCCCTTTTGAGGAATCATTTTTCTTCTATAGTAACCGACATTCTTTCTTGAAATGTCTTTACTCACTACAATGTTAACATTTACCTTTCTTATTCTTCTTGAATGTAGGCCCATTAGCAATCTGGTTGAACTTAAACTTTTTTTGTCAGGTTTTGTAGTCTGTTTTTCCTTCAAAATATGAACTTTGGCATTACTAGAACCGAAATTTTGTTCTTGCTTTTTATATTTCTTTTCAATTTGAAGATGATTAGCCAAAGCCTTAAGACTAATTTCCTCTTTTTTATGTTTCAAACTTCTTTTAAAGTCCTTCCATGATGAAGAAAGTTTGTTTATTACAAAGGATACAATAATTGTTTCATCCATACTCATATTATGTTGTTTAAACTGATTAAGCATTCTTTTAATTTCACATAGTTGTTCAATCACAGAACGTTAATCAATCATATGATACTTATTGAAATGACTAACGAGAATTTTTTACTTGTTGTATCCTTGGTCATATACCTAGTCTTCAATTTGTCCCATAACTCTTTTGTAATAGCCTCTTTTTGATATGTATCAAACAGGCTATCAAACGGACCATATAGAATATGGCATTTACACATGTAGTCTGCATTATCCCATTTTTACCTCTCTTTTGTTGTAATAATAGATTCTTCTATTTCATTTTCTTCTGGCTTGAGAATAGTCAAAACATATACTACCTTCAAAGTTAAAAGCAAGAAATGCATTTTCTTTTGCCAACTTCGAAAATTGCCACCATCAAAACGATCTAATTTGATAAAACTAGAAGCTAATTCCTTGAGTGTTACTTCAGTAGTCATTGTTGAATCGAATAAAACCTTTAAATTGTTATAGCAAACATTGAAAAACTAGAATTATTGTTTTCTGAAAAATCTAAAATTTTGAGTAAAAGCTTCAAGGCATGTAATAGTGCCACTTTCTTTAAGGTTTTATTTGCTCCCACCATATTATTTACTTAGTAAGTGTGCAAAAAGATTACAAATAATAAACTTTGAGGATACAGTGAAGCCCAATGATTGACTATATTTTGCATTAACGAAATCATCCACCAAGTAATTATCAGCATAAAACAAAATTACTAAATTTTTATAAAGCTATTCTGCAACAAAACTTTTATAAAAGAAATCTAAAATTTGAAGAAAGATGGAGAGTTCCAAGAATTGCTTTTGTATGTTCTCAGAAAACTAAAAGAGCTTTTTATAAATAGATAAGTATCCTTTCTTCAGATATGACTATTTATTTCGAATAGAAAAAAATTATTTGTTTTTAAACAATTGAAATTATTTATTTTGAATAGACTTATCTATTTATTTTGAATAAATTTAATTATTTGTCTTTATTTTTTCTTTTTTAATATAAAATTATTTCTCATATTTTATTTTAAAATCTCTAAAAAGAATATAAACAAGGCGTTAATTTTAGAATATAATTTCAATCTTTGTTCCTTTTTTTTATAAATCAAGTCAAAATAAATTTCTTCTATTTAATCAACAATTTAATTCTTATTGGAAAAGTAATACGAGTCTAACAATTTAATCCCAACACAATTCTAATAATATTTTTCCCCTCTCCAATCCAAATAGCCATTCTGTCATCTTTCGAGCTCTTATTTTTTAAAAAACCAAAATAAAATAAAATACAAATTTAAATTTGACTAAAACCCCGAATTAAATGGGGTGTGAGTACTCAATGAAGAGATGTTCCATGGTTTCCTCAGCCTTGTGACAGAAAACACAATAGGGGGATTATCAGGACTTAGCATTGCGTCTGATAAGTTCCATCTTGGCAGGGATACAGTTATTACAAATTTTCCAAAGGAAAATTATCAATTTGTGAGGGAGCCTCAGTTTCCATAACCTCTTCCATACGGACTGCGGCCATGAATATGTATTGTTGCTGTCCATTTCCTTAAACAAGAGCCAATAAGCAGAATTAACAGTGTTCGTCACCATTAATAAAGCTATTCTTCCTGACAATTTTGTCTTTCCCGTAGCAGCAGTAAGGTTTTAGATAGGAAATGAGAGACCTCATAAGGTTCTAAAAGCACTGAAGAAAGAAGGTTGTTCCATGAGTTGCCAATACGACGCATGATTTCGCAAACTTCCAGGCGCTCAGGATCATCTTGTCTCCTTCGATATTTAAAGGAGATTTGACCATCACAAATGACTGCCTGAGTGCCAACCCAGATTTAGAAATCCATAACTTCGGCGCAAACATCTCTTCCAACCAGAATGGATTTCCATATCCAGTAGTCAAGGGGCTTGGCCTGAATATCAAGGAACTCCTGATTTTTATAATATTTTGTAGTTAAAGCTTGAGAGGCTACAGAATCAGGTGTAGAAAGAATTCGCCAGGCTTGCTTTCCCAAAAGAGCTTTTTAAAGAAGTTCAGTCTGCCAGATCTTCCTCATGGAGAAAGGCATTGTGCTTTCCATCCTGCCAATTTGCAGTTGATGTTGTCAACCAGTAGTTGAAAGAACTCCCTTTTGGATTGCATTTTCCCAAACTCTACACCAAAGTGAAGCTCTTGACCCTTGGTAAGCCATTAAACCAAAAATTGAACTTATTCTGACAGTAGGTAATCACAAACGATTCAGACTTGTTGTAGTTTTTTTTTTTTTTTACCAGAAAGGTAACAAATATCCTTCGATGCAGACTTGACCTCCCCACTCCACTGAGATAACAGTCATGAACAAAAGAAAAAATGGCTAAAAGAAATCCAACTCCTCTACTGATTCTAATTCTTTGAATTTTCATTTCCTTTTCAGCTTGGAGCAACATAAGTGAAAGAACATTTTGGCATAAAATGAACAGGTAAGGGGATAGGGGATCCGGTTATCGTAATCCCCTTTGTAGTGAATAAATTTGAGGGTCCTCTATTTATCATGATCTGGTATCTAACAGAGCCAATGCATCCCATGATGATTTTAATCCATTTCTAATTGAAGCCCATCTGTTCCATCACCATCTTACTGAACATCCGGCGAAGCTAATTCTACGGTAAGCTTTGTTCATGTCGATTTTGAGGGCACCGAGAACTCCTTTTGTTAATTTCATTCCTCTTCCAAATAGTTTGAAGAATTTATCCCCCAAGAATGACTGTCTCAAATAAGCCAATTTCATAAATGCATTTTGTAAAGGCGTATGAGGTTACCCACGAACGGCTTGAGACGATTAACAAGGGCCTTGAGAAGGTCACAACGCAGATGCAGTGGTGACTCTTTTGAGGGCTCCAACCAACCGCGTCCCAACTCCCAACGCAATATTTGATCTATCTCCGCATTAACTCTGACCTTCCTTCATCTTTTTTTTTTCCCTTTTATATTTTATTTTATTTCTTATTTTCTTTTTCTTATTTTTGACGATTAATTTTTTAAAAAATCCATATTTTTTCCTTAAAAAATCACATGTTTTCAATCCTTTGGCGATCCTAGGGTCAATCCTAATTTTTCGATAATTCAGGATAATATTGCTTGGAAAAAATTTTCAAAATTTTTTCATTAATTTTCTTAACAATTCCAAGATAATTGGTTTGATTTTTCTAAAAAATTCCAAAGAATATATCCTTCACTCCCTAGACAGCTCCAAGGCTAATTTTTCATTTCCTTTACAACCTTATGGTGTTTTTTTTTTTTTTTTTTTGGGAAACCTAAGATTTTTCTTAGCAATCCCATTTCCAACCTTGTCAATTTCCATTTCCACCCTTGTCATTTTCTTTCGGCAAAATCGAAAATTTTTGGCAAGTCCAGGATTCTTATCTCCCATTTTGGCAACGTCAATCATCTTCTTTTGAACTACGTTAGATATCTCTTTTAAGTGGACAGACAACCCAAACAAGAATGAGCCTTGAATTACATCGTTTCATTCTTTTTGTGTGACTTTCGTCTCCGCTTTCATCAAACTGATCATAGGGATTACTATAATAATTAAATTTAAATAAACCAATTTTAACTTGAAGGTAAGTGAGCAATGCCATAAAACGTGGTTGTGGTAAAGTTGACCTGTGTCCATTGGCACTTATTATTAATTAATTTAATTTTGACCAGAATTTGACTTTCTCTTATGCCATCCACGTTGCACCTCCCGATTGGTTACCTTTTTTTTTTTTCCGTTTCTTATTCCACATTTCTTTCCTCCTTTCCTAAACTAAATGTACCTTTAAGTGGATTATAAAACCCCAATTTTTTTCATTTTTCCTCTCATCCTTCTCTCTCTACATAAGAAGTAGACAGCTTCTCTTCCGCCCTCTATCTGTCGCCGACCGCAACTCCTCCATAGCTCGTTGGCAATAGAATTTCATAAAAAAATTTCTGCGATCACCTATTGAACTCCTGCTAACATCTATCAGCTTGGATTTTTCAAAATCGAACCGGAAAAACCTAGATCTAAACCTCAGGTTTCAAAGCTGATAAACTTATCTCTATCGCCTAAAACCGCCTGAAATTTGACTATGTTACTCCTCTCCCTTCGTTTTTCGGTTTTGATTTTGCAAAGCCCTCCACCGCCGAGATTCCCTGCTGTTGCCATCCTCAATCACCGCCTGTAATTGTGTAAAAATGTACAGGATATCTCAAACTAGATTTTTGTTGCTGTTATTACCTTAAATTTATCAAACTGTTAGCTCACATTTTCTTTTTTATGGATGCAGGACTTATTTTACCGTGATTTTACTACTGAAGAGTTAAAGCGCATTCACGAGTATAATTTTGATCATCCAGGTATATTAATTTGGTGATGTTTGCTGATTTTGTTGTCTTCTGTTATATTGGATTATTTTGTTTTAACTGTACATTGATTTTTTTTTTGTTTGTGTAGATGCTTTTGATATTGAGCAGCTTCTAGATTGTATTCAGAAGCTTAAAGTAGGAACTCTGTTCATGTCCACAGCTGAAACTGTCATGCAACACTTGCATCACCAATAGACAACCAAGTCGCAAAAGAACCTCTTTCAGGACGAACTGGCTGCAAAAAATAAAATAAAAAAACCAAGTATGGCATCATAACTTTCATTCATTTTTACATCTAACTTGATATGTAAAATTTTCAATGCTTTTGATGGTCACTTTCTTGCCATATAAAGACAAAGATAGGAAAAAATGGATCTATGAAATCAAGACATGAACTGACAATGTGACTGAACTACAGGTAATCTTTATTCATGCATAAATTTTTTTAAACTGTATTTCCATTAACTTAAATCTTAAACATGATGCCTGAATTATGTTAAGTGATAATTAATATACCTGGATGAAAATGAAAATAGAAAATCTTAAACTGAGAAGGCTTCTCCTTTTGTTTTAACTTTCAATTATCCTATAAAAAAATAGAAAAAATCATTTTCATTTTGTACCTTTTGTGACCGTAAAGAATTCATCGCCCTTTGAATCAATCGTCCAAATAAAAGCCCTTGCTATTCATCAGGATTTTATCAGGAGGACAATCATAGGCTGTAGAACTGTTTCTGAGATGGGTCCTGACTTCCTATTGCTTTTATATATCAGAAAGAAGCAGGAAACGATTTAGCCAGAAATTCTTCTTATGATGCAGGGAAATCTTCTATGTATAAATTCTCAATGGTTACTGGTTAATTAGGACTGGAGAAATTAGTTTCTGATTTTATCCACCTGGAACTGAAGCAAAGAATATACAGAAGGAATCTTTAATTCGGAATGAATCAAATCTCCTCAAGTAGGATTAGAACTTACAATTAGTCAGTTAGCAACCGACCGCTCTACCGTTGAGCTACTGAGGAACTGCGGGAGATTAGATCTCAATGAATTCAATTCCCATGCTCAACCCATGATCAATATGAACTCTAAATTTTCTTTGTAATCCCATGGCTCCATTCCATGTCTCATTTTATAGGAACCTCAAAGTGATTCTATTTCATTATATTTCATCCAAATCTCAATTTTATTTTAATATTCATGATGTATCATTGACATGACATAAAAGATGTCGATTTTAATCTTTTTTTTTATTTTTTTTACTGCTACATACGTACGTACAAAGTTAAAAAACTATCATATAATAAACCATAAATAGTCTCTATAAATAAATAGTTAAAATGTTTAACTATTAATTATTTTTAAATTCATAAATTAAAATATAAATAATATAATCTAAATATAAATAATATAAAAATGTAATATAAATAAAAATAAAAATTTTATGGAAAGGGCGTTGTAAATTACCTTGCAACTTTTCTGATGCCAATCACCTATGAGAAGTTCAAATTCAGCATCAAGTTTGGGGAAGGGTACTTAATTTGATCACTTCATGATTATTAACTCCAATCGGACTGAATCTCCCTCCAACTTTCAGTAAGCTAATGGAGGGGAAGTAGATGAAAGTCGCAATCTGGTCTTTCACGCGAAAAACATAAGTCCAGTTCTTACCAGGTTGGATTAGACAGTTTGTTCCTGACACTCCATCCTGCCATGAATTTAGTCTTTGCTGTATCCCATTCCTGCACCACCGGCAACATCAACATCCTTTGTTTTTCACTATGTTTCTCTTCCGGTCTGACAGAAATCAAAATCTTGATTACAAGTTTCGTATATGTCTCAATAATACTATGAAAAGAAGACAAAGATTTTTAAATTTTACCATGTAAATACTAGTGGCTCATCCAGACTGTTAAACACATTGACATGAATATTGTCATTTCTTGTGGCGTTGATAAGGGGTCCAGGTAACATCCCAATGATGGTAATGATCTATTAAGAACATATATCAGCATTAATGCAAACAATTAACAAAAACTGTAAAATCACAGTTAAACCAAGCTTTAAATGACTATTTAACAGAAGATAAGATCATTAACAATCTTACAGGCTGCTCTACAGGAAACGATTTAGCCGATGTGTTGACTGACATGCCACTCTTGGAGAATATCAGCACCATTAACTATGGTGATTAGTAGTGTAATGATATATGCAGATATGATTGGCCTAGGGAAGTCACCCGAAAATGCCATTACAATGGCCTAAACTGTGACCACCCTTATTATCTCAGAAAATGAGCAAGAAATGGTCCAATTTTAATGTTGCAGGAAAGTCTTTAGAACAACCGAGGTCAGTACTCAGGACAAATACAAAAAATTAGGTGGAACTTCCTGGGCAAACAGAAAGAGCTAACTACTATCAAACATAGAGAAGAACTGATTTGGATGTTGCAAAGGCAGTCCATTGACATGAAAATAAAAAATAAAAAAAAAGTAGTAGTGTTTAATATTTTTACTTGATTCTAGGGCTTGATTTTCACACAATGAACCAGTTGATTCATTTACTACACCAAGCTTTTGTGATTTTCAATAATAGAAAATAAATTAAATCCTCTTTGCTACATAGGAGGTTGAAGCCTGCTAACAAGGGAAGGGGTTGCAAGTGCTTGGATTGGAACTTTAGATCTCCTAGATGCCACTTCTTAAAGGTAACTACATGAACTAATTGAGTTATACTCCGCCTTCAATAAAATAAATCTTTGATGATACAGAAAAGACACTTATGTTTTAACTAAACTTTCAAAGATTTCATTTTAGTAAACTTTGATTCAAGTTATGCATCATGCTTCCTTAATGATCTACATTTTTAGAGGAAAAGCAATGCCTGAAATAGTAAGATTTTTGGGCAATGATCCACCAAAATTAGTTGTATGAGAATAATCATAGGATTTTGATCTAAGTGCATATTATTACAAATTTTAGCTTTCGTAACATCACAAAACAAGGAGTACTGTTTGATTAAATCACTACGAATGGCACCTTGAGATAGTTAGATACTACTTTAATCAGGGGAGTGTCTTTTATTCTGCTCAATGTTCATTCAAACATCTTTATAGGATTATCTACTTCATGGAGTTGCTACTATAGATATCATCTCCATTGCGTCATTCAATTTCAAATGTTTTATTCATGATTCCCAGAAGCAGGATCTAACCATGCAGATTTGCTAAGCTGTTAAAGGTCTTCGATCTCATGGAGTATTCCCTTATAAGCTTAGAGAAGAATGAATCCTTTCTTTCTAGTAGCTTTGCAGGCTTGTCAAACTCTGCAACTCTTCCTGTTAACAAAAAAATTTATTCAATTTGTTTTCTAACAATTTTACAGTGTTTGTATCATGTCTTTGTAAGTACACAAATGCTTTTTTCATCTATACTTACCGTCACTTAGAACTAAGACAAGATCGCTGTCTATAACAGTGTGGATTCTGTGAGCTATTGTCACGACTGTTCGATCTTTGAACTCTTGACTAATGATCTTCTGTATCACTCTATCAGTTGCAGAATCAACCGATGCTGTTGCTTCATCCAACACAAGAATGCTGCTTTTCTTTAGCAATGCCCTTCCAAGACAGAATAACTGCCTTTGTCCCATGCTCCAGTTTTCCCCATTTTCAATCACTGCTCAAGACATTCTAATTATTAGTAGCTTTCATTAGCAGCAAAATACATTCAGTCTATTTATTATTGCCCAAGTTTATGAACCTGACCTGTTGCATCCAACTTTTCTTCCTTTGCACGCACCTGTTCATCGAGTTGGCATTTATTGAGAACCTGAAACCATAGGGGTACTGTTAAGTCCATGATTATGATATAAATTAGTAGTTTTGTATTGCAAAGAAACCACAACTGAGGAAATATAGTGGCTCAGGCTACTAGCTATGTGCCACTTTCTAACATCTGATGAAAATTTTGGAAGCAAGTCATTCTAATGTGTATTTTCCATTGTTTTCCTTTCAAGTGAAGTTTGAGTTCTGGGAGAGAAATATTTAGTCCCACAATTCACTTTAAGGATATGTTTTTTAAAGATTAATTACCTCCCATAGTTTATTGTCCGAATATTGCATGAGAGGGTCAAGGTTCCCTCGAACAGTTCCCTCAAACATTGTTGGGTCCTGTGGAATGATGCTAAGTCTTGATCTTAAGTCATGAAGACCTATATTACTTATGTCCACATTGTCAATTGTGATGCTCCCTTCTCTGGGCTCAACAATCCTGAAAATAGCCTGTATAAGTGTTGATTTCCCACTTCCTGTCCTTCCCACAACACCAATTTTCTTTCTTCCAGGAAATGTGCAGCTAATATTGTTTAGGACACATGGAAGATGCTCAGCATACTGGATCTGTAAGACAAAGAAATTGAGCATATGCATCTTGAACTTTACAATAGATTTTGGATGGTGAGAAGAAGGAATTTGCAGTGGCAGTGTCAGTAAATGTAAGTTCATTATCAAAAAGCTTAGAACAGCATGGTTGAAAATTTGATTGAACCAGTTAACATTTTCCAGGCAAATTTATTATGTTTACCATCATGTTGGTCATACCTGCAAATTTCTGAAGCAAATTGTTCCAACTTCCGGCCAGCTGTTAGGTGGTCTGCACTCTTCCATCTCGAGTGCTGATTCGCTCGCTAAGTTTGAGTGCTGAAGAATTCTTTCTACTGAGATCATCTTGTTTTCTGCATTGCATATGTCCCATATTACTGAAGCTTGCATTACATTCAAATTTATTCCATATGTAACTGCCAGTCCTGCAATGCCTGTTGACAAAAAAATCACTTTTGGATTAGTGGTCATTCATAAATTTTCTTCTACCTCTTGGTTTTTTTCATAGAAGATGCAGTTCTTGTTATATCTGAAGTGTGAGGCAGCCCGCAAATAACACACTTGGGAAATAGATCCACGTTAACATGCGTGAGTATCTATTCTATGTACTAACATCAAGTTTCTGAGAAAGAAAACAGGTAATAGAATACATCATACTCACTTGGATTAATCATTCCTTCGGGAAGCATCACCAGCACAACCAATGAGAAGGCAAATACAAAAATGGACAGTAGATTTAGTCTGAATGAAAGCCATTCCAATGCTGAGATGTTATGAAACCAGGGCTTTGCATGGTTGTCAATGAGGCCAAGATTTGCATCAATGAAACGGTTTTCTTGATCAAATGCACGGATTGTTACTGTGCCAGCTAGTGATTCAGCAAAGTGGTGGAGGATAGGAGCTCTTTGTATACCTGCTAAGCGGGCCAGTTCTCTTGCTGTTGGTATGTAATATTGCTGGAACAATTATGCATAAAAAGGAATTGGTAAAGCTATTCTTTTCATGGCAGTTAGCA